CCCTGCTCACACTCTTTCTCTCAAAAATAAATAAACATTAAAATGCCAAAGGTAAATCTGAACAACTTTGGGAATTTTGGAAAACAGCATGATACAATTTATTAAAAACTTCATTGTAGTCACACTTTGAGATCTAACAATTCCAGTTAGAGGAATGTCTCTTTAAAAAATAATTCTAAATAGGGAAAACAGCTTTATGCAGTAATATGGTCACCACAATGTTGTTTTAATAAAAAATTGCAAACACCCAAAAGGTACAATAATCAGGAGATGATTAAACCTTGGTCTATCTACTTGTTGCCATAACAACAATAATAGTAATAGCTGACATTTACTGAGCATTTAGTATGTGCCAGGCACTGCAATAAATGTTTTGGATGTATTGTTAACCCAAAGCATTCTCACAACAACTCATGATATGTTACTATTATGGTCCCCATTTTATAGGTGAGAGAAGCGAGGATTAAAGAGGTTAAGCGGTATCTCCAGGGACACACAACTAGCTGTGAGTGACGGAGTTGGGCATCATACCTGGGAGGCAGTAGGATTTCACAGCCCAGCTTTAATGATTGTGCTATTAGTGTAGCCAATAATATGCCTGACACAAAAATGCCATGATAAAATTTTAACGTGATAAAAACAGATAGAAACCACATATAGTTCTATCCTGTTTTTTTGTTTTGTTTTTTAAAGATTTTATTTTTAAGTAATCTTTACACCCAACCTGGGGCTCAAACCCACAACCCCAAGATCAAGAGTCACACACTGTACCAGCTGAGCCAGCCAGGCACCGCCTATTTTTTTTTTTTTAAAGACTTGTGCACTGAAACAAAAACATTAGAAAAGAACACAACATTATTTACCATGGTCATGTTGGACTAGCATGTTTCTGTTCCTCAACTGTAAGCAACAGAAACCCACCTAGACTGACTTAAGTCTTCATTTTTAAAAAAGGAAGAGGAGTAAAATTTATTGACGTCACAATTTAAATCTTTCAGGCATAACCAGATCCAAGGGCCCATATAACGTCACCAGGACTCACTCATTTTCTCTCTCTCTTCATCTCTCCACTCTTCTTTCCTCTGTAACCTCAGTGAATGTTCCAGCATACCTCCTGAGATTTGACTCATTGGCCCAATGTGTTGTCTGGGGTCAGGAGGATGCACTATTCAGATTGGCCAAATCTGGGTCTTGTGCCCATCCTTGGGACCAGGGTTTGCATCAGTCCCACCCAGACCATGTGGACTGACGGTGGGGGAGAGCTGTTTCCTAAAGGAAAGCCCAGGTACGTTATCAGAACTTGAAGCAAGGAAAGGACACCAGGCAGGCAAAAAGCAGGAGCCAGTTACTGGTGATAAGACTGAGTAATTATTGGGGCGCCTGGGTGGCTCAGTCGGTTGAGCGACCGACTTCGGCTCAGGTCATGATCTCGCAGTTTGTGAGTTCGAGCCCCGCATCAGGCTCTGTGCTGACAGCTCAGAGCCTGGAGCCTACTTCAAATTCTATGTCTCGCCCTCTCTCTACCCCTCCCCTGCTCACGCTCTGTGTCTCTCTGTCTCTCAATAATAAATAAACATTAAAAAAAAATTTTTTTAATGAAAAAAAAAGACTGAGTAATTATTTTTCTATTTAAAACATGAAAAAATTTCTTCCTTAAGTGATTCATAAAATTTACCAGTAAACCCATCAGGGACTGGAGTTTTTAGGAAAAGGTTTTTTGATTATGGATTCAATTTATAAATATTGGGTTATTCGGATATTTTATTTCATCCTGTTTTAGTTTTGGTAAGTCATAATTTGCAAGGAATTTGTCCATTTGTCTAATCTATCAAATTTATTGTTCATGATATTCTTTTATTGTAGTGATTTTCCCTCTTTTTCATGATATTGAGTGATAATTTGTTCTTTCTCTCATTAGTCTATTTAGGGATTTATCAACTGTTTTCAAAGAAGAGTGTTTCACTTTATTAAATCTTTCTGTTTTCTGTCTCATTTATTTCTTTTCTATCTTTATTCCTTTCCATCTACTTACTCTGGGCTTATTTTTTCCTTTATAGTGTAACTGATTTAAAGTCTTTTTACAAGTATTTAAAGTTATACGTTACTTTCTAAGCACTTCTGTATCTCACAAATTTTGACATGTTGTATTTTTTTTTCAACGTTTTTTTTTTTGTTGTTGTTTTTTTTTTTAATTTATTTTTGGGACAGAGAGAGACAGAGCATGAACGGGGGAGGGGCAGAGAGAGAGGGAGACACAGAATCGGAAACAGGCTCCAGGCTCCGAGCCATCAGCCCAGAGCCTGACGCGGGGCTCGAACTCACGGACCGCGAGATCGTGACCTGGCTGAAGTCGGACGCTTAACCGACTGCGCCACCCAGGCGCCCCACACATGCTGTATTTTTTATTGTTATTACAGTTTAAAATATTTTCTAATTTCCCTCGTAATATCTTGTTTGACCCATGGCTTATATGAAAGTGTGTTCTTTAATTTGCAAATATTTGAGCTTTTTAAAAAAATGTTTTATTTATTTAAGTAATCTACACCTCACATGGGGCTCAAACTCACAACCCTGAGATCAAGAGCTGCATGATCTTTCGATCAAGCCGGCCAGGCACCCCTCAAATATTTGAGCTTTTTCTACGTGTCATAAATTAATGATTTTTAGTTTAATACCATTGAGATCTTAGAAATACTGTTTAAGATTTCCGTTACTTAATCGTATGAACCAGGATATGATTTATCTTGGTGAACGTACTGTGTGTACTTCAAAAGAATGTGTATCCTGCCCTTGTTGAGTATTGGGGGAATGGCCATCAGGTCAAGTCGTTGGTAGTATCACTTGGAACTTTGTCTTACTGTTTTTTGTTCTAGTTCCATCAGTTACTGATAAAGGGGTACTATAGTCTCAACTATGATTGTGGATTTGTCCGTTTCTCTCTGTAATTCTGATTGTTTTTCTTTCATTTTGAAGTCCTGTTATGAGGCATGTACACATTTATGATTGCAATATCTTCCTGATGGATTAATTCTTGTATCATCTGGAAATGTCCCTCTGCTTCTGGTAGTACTCTTTGTCTTAAAGTGTCCTTTCTCTGATATTAATGTGGCTATTTCTTAAAAAAAATTTTTTTTAACATTTATTCGTTTTTGAGAGACAAAGAGAGAGAGAATGTGAGTGGAGGATGGTCAGAGAGACACAGAATCAGAAGTAGGCTCCAGGCTCTGAGCTGTTAGCACAGAGCCCGACGCAGGGCTCAAACTCACAGACCATGAGATCATGACCTGAGCTGAAGTTGGCCGCCTAACCGACTGGGCCACCCAGGTGTTCCTTTCCCTATGTTTTTATATATAAAGAATGTCTCCTGTAGACAGCATGTAGCTAGGTCTTGCTTTTCTGTGCAATACAACAATCTCTGTCTCAACTGAAATGTTTAGTCTAATCAATATAATGTAACTATTGATATATTTGACTTAAGTCCATAATTTTGCTATTTGATTTTTGTTTGTTCCATCTGTTGTTTGTTCTTCTTGCATACTTCGGGGTCAATTGGATATTTTTTAGAATTCTGTTTTAATTCCTGTGTACACTAATTTTAATTCAGAAAAATAATTTCAAGAAAATCTCATCAATTCAGCCAGCATTTTCATTCATTTTTCTTTATTCTGGCAGGATAATGAAAGCCCTTGGAAATGCTGGGGTGCCTGTCCCCAGAGTTCTTGACCTCTGTGAAGACTCAGGGTAATGATGAGATTTATTTATTTATTTTTAAATGTTTATTTATTTATTTGGCGGGGAGGGGCAGAGAATGAGGGAGAGAGAGAATTCCAAGCAGGCTCTGCACTCACCAGGGCTCAATCTCACAAACCATGAGATCATGACCTAAGCCAAAATCAAGAGCCAGATGCTTTAACCCACTGAGCCATCCAGGTGCTTCCAGATTGATTGATTGATTGACTGATTTGTTTTAATGTTTATTTATTTTTGAGAGAGAGAGGGAGAGAGAGCAAGTGGGGCAGAGGCAGAGAGAGAGAGAGGGAGGCAAAGAATCCGAAGCAGGGTCCAGGCTCCGGGCTGTCAGCATAGAGCCCGATGCGGGGCTCGAACTCACAAACTGTGAGATCATGATCTGAGCTGAAGTCAGACGCTTAACCGACTGAGCCATGCAGACGCCACTGGATTTATTTATTTATTTATTTATTTATTTTAAAACCTTTCTTAACGTTTATTTTATTTTTGAGACAGAGA